TCTCTCTCTCTCTCTCTCTCTCTCTCTCTCTCTCTCTCTCTCTCTCTCTCTGTCTCTCTCTCTCTTCCTTCCTCCCTCCCTCCCTGGGAGGGAAAAATCAATTATTTTTCAATAAATTCTACCCATACTCTATAGGATGGCCTATGTGTCTTGTCTAAAATCTTTCATTAAAATAACAAAGGACCAGCGAGATAGCTCAGCAGACTAGCTGCCTGCTTAGGCAAGCACAGGGACTGAGGTTTGACCCCCAGCACCACATGCTGCACCAGCCCTGACCCTGGGCACACTGAGTGGCCACAGAGACCCAGCATGGTGGTGCACACCTGTAATCCCAGTGCTGAGGAGGCTGAGACAGGAGGATCACTATGAGTCTGAGCTGCATAGTGAAACCCTGTACCAACTACATAAAAAAATAAAATAAAATAAAACAACAAAGAGGTTGGGGCTATAGCTCAGCCACAACCTGGCAAATGCAAGGTTGTGAGTTCAATTCCCAGTACCTAAATAAATAAATAAATAAATAAATAAATAAACGACAAAGAACCACGGCCTCAGAGTGTGGCTGGTTCTTTGTGATGAAGTACCTCACAATGTTATAGACAGCTTGCTGGTGATAGGGCCACTAAATCTTGGACCACAAGCTTCCAAACCATGAATCAAATAGACCTTTTATCTTTGTAAGTTAATTGTCTCAAGCATTTTACTGAAGTAGTGAGAAGCTGGCACATTGGTCTAAAATAGGATTTAAGAGAAAGAAAATTTCAGACACTTGGAAGTGAAGACCACCTCAACTCTAGTTGCAAATGTGGCCAAAGAGTTGAAAAACCCTTATATGTTTCAACTCTGAAGAGATCCTTCTGGATTAATTTGCTTGCAATAGTTGCTTACTGAAAAACCACTAGAACTCAGCACTATGCATGGCATGTAATGGAAATGCCTTCAGAACATGTTGGTTCAGCACCTAAATTCCACATTCAAGATGTGATTGATGTAGGATGTGTCCTGGTCCTCAGGCACCTTCCACATCACAAGTTCTTAATTTGGGGTCCAGAAAAGCCCAGAAGTTGAGTATAAAATAAAGACATAAACTTATTTTCCAGGGCCAGGGAGGATGGCCCAAAGCATTCATCATATTCTCTAGAATGTACAAGATTCCAAAGAAGTTAAGCAACATTGAAGTAAACAGAGAGCCAAATACTGTTGGAGACCACAAATTCATACTTCCCTGAGGGATGAATGGAGGCTTGGAAGTTTTGGTATCACCCTTTGGAGATTTCCCATTACACCATTAGGCATGGGCCATCATCTCCCATCGACTAAGACTAAAGACTAAGCCTAAGACTTCGAAGACTAAAGGTGCTCCAGGGAAAGATCCTCATTAGCCTAAGATCACCATTGCCCTCTAAGTCATCCATTAATCCTCAAAAATTAAATGCTGAGGTTCTGGATGCCTCATGGTCTTTCGTTCCTTATGAACAGCTGGTCATCTTGGATCCTCACTGCACCATTTTGTCTCTTGCTCACTCACTCTCTCTCTCTCTCTCTCTCTCTCTCTCTCTCTCTCTCTTTCTTCTTATGGTGTGCCATAATACCTTGACAGGAAATTGGAGCTCACTGCAGGAGTCTCCAATAAAATACCTCTGAAAAGATCATCCTAAACTACCATCCAGAGAAGTTCATATTGTCCAGAGATACAGACCTTCAATGGATACTGTGATGGGACAAGGGAAAAATCACCAAGAAATGCTCTGTCCTCCACCATCTGTCCCTTTCTTGGACAGAAAAGTCATCAGAGTATCACAGCATTCATTCTCCTGTAATCTAGTGCAGTCCGCTCATTGATTCAGGCAACAACAAGAACCCACTATCTGCCAAGCTCTGCACTGAGTCTCTCTCCCAAGTAAATCTTGTGTCTGTGTTCTCCAAGCCTCACCTAGTGCCTAGCATACAGGAAGATCTCAATAGATAGAAGTTTCCCTTGGCATTGGGACAGCATAGCAGCTGACCTTCTGGTATTTGGAATCAGAGAATGTAGATGTGAATCAAAACTCATCCACTTCTGTGCCACATGACCATGGGTAGGTCATATCATCTGAGACCAGATTTCCCTATGCGTAAAGCAGTGGGAACTTACATCAGTGGGTCCTGTGGGAATTAAAGGTGCTCAACCATGTAGAGTCTGGTGTGTACTGTATGCTCAACATGATCCTAGTGCACTTAACATCATTTCTACAGCGTTAGCACCACTAGGCCCCCCAGTTTCCAGTCTACCTTCTCTATCCAAGGGCTAACCAAGCCACCGGTCTATCCCACGCTGAGACTCTAGGAGATAGAAATGGTGTTTTTATTTCAGTGGATGTTGAGCATCACCTAGCAAAGGAAGAAGGAAAACTGTCACAAAAGACAGAAGAAGAAAAGGGACACTGATATATATCCATATGCTGTGCATTAAACAGAGCGATCTAAGTAAATTTTCCAATTGTCTAATAAAAAAATATTCCACAGTAAGAAAATACATCTGTGTTGAAAGTATCCCTGCTTATGTAAGCTACAGGAAAAACAATAGGCAAAATATTTACTTACTTCTTTAGATATAATGCTACAATTATAAATGTCATGTGAGTGATCTGTGTTGATCTTTTCCACTTTCATCTTAAAAAAAAAAAAAAAAAGTTTTTTTTTCCCTCAAATCCTTCATAGGCACGGCGGTGTTTTTCTCATCTCTAAGGAAGTTTTCTAAGCCAGTTTTCCAGGGCCTAGCATCTTCTCTTCCAGCAGAATAAAAAAGCTATTTTTGGATTTGACATCCTGAACAAATTTTGGTGATACATTCATGTGCCATCAGTGTATTTTACATGCATCCTGTGTTTATTTAAGACTTCCTCAATAGCAATATGGGGTTCCCTTGTTAAGCACCTGTGTATGCATTTGTATACAACAACCTCTATGTATGATATTGTATGTGAACGTAAGGTCCTATTCCCAGGAATAAGTACTGGACCTAAGTTCACTTTCTCTTCCCTTATTTTTCTGGTTCACAGGACCATGGTTTTAGACTTCTGAAGTTTGCATTAACTGAAATATTTTAAGGACAATGTGTCTTCCTCCAAACTCCTTTGCTCTTCAAAAAGAAGAACTTCAGAAAACAGGGCCCTGATGAGAAAAGAATTCTAAGCTGTCCCAAATGGAAGACCAGAGAATGGAGGGAAGAAAAAGAAAACAGAAATTCATTTTAACGGGTGACTTTAAGCCTGATCAACAAAGAGAAAAGAAACAAAAACAGAAACAAACCGGCTCCACCTCCCTTTGCTTCTTGTGTGTTGAAGATCACCACGGAGACCATGTCACTCTCTGCTCCTGAAACCAACAAGAAGCAGCAAAAACTTGCCTTGGACTCACCTCCTACTCCGGGGGCCTTTCCCACTGCCACACTGCCTCTGGCCTGCATAAAAGACTGTTGATTCTTTTCTCCAAAATTTTGGGTCCATTTTAAGTCCAGTGGATGTTTTTCCAAGTACTATCTGGTCAAGCTGCTGGTAGCTTAAGAATCTGTCCCAGGGCTACTTCGTTCCCTATTAGCTTGCCCTAAAAACCCTTTATTTCAGAGACCTTTTGGTCTCAAAATTTTTATCTTGTTAACACTCCCCTACACACAGCTTTTTAAAAGATGGGGAGATAGCTGAGTAGAATAAGCGTCTGTCTGGCAAGACTAGGGTCCTGAGTTCAATCCCTGGTACCGCAAAATAAATAAATAAATAAAAATAATAAAAGACTCCTTTCTATCAGAGGACTTGACACAAAGGTTGAGCAGATCTTGCCCCAGGACCCCTCAATAAGTGGCAACCAAGCTGCCACTCTCGGACCCCCAGGTAGCTCCCGGTGACATTGGGGGGGGGCAGCTCCAAGACCCTCTGGGAATTTCTAGGGGAGACCCGCTGGTGAGTGGCTACCTCTCTGAATCCATCGCTCCCTACAGCCACAGGAAAAGAAACCCTGCTTCTTCAAAGTTTCGGTTTCATTTCTTTCAAAAGCGGTTTCTTTTTCCAGTCTGGCTGAACCGCCAGCTACAGAGCTGTAATTGTTCAGGAGGGAGGAGCGATCCGCTGCTAGAAATCATCCAGCTGTCTCCTCTCCGCAAGCAGAGGAGAGTGGATATTCTCTGCCTCTCATCGTTTCCTTCTCCCTCCGCAATTGTTCAGCTGCCGAAAAAGCCTGGAAGGTACCCCTTACGGGGCTGGGCAGACACAGAGAAATCCTGCAAAGATGGACCGCATCCCGGACCTGTATGCAACCCCAGGAGACAGGCTGGACGCCTTCCTGAAGCACAGCCTTCAGCCCCAGAGGGACTGGAAGGAAGAAGTAGAGGATGCCAAGCAGAGGGTCGAGAAGTTCCTTCGGAATCAGTGCTTCCGAGATCACCTTGTTCTGGACCGAGAAGTCAGGGTGCTGAAAGTGATGAGGGTGAGCATTCCAGACGCTGGGGTTCAAATCCCAACCCTGCTTCTGTGGGTTTGTGGGACCCTGGGGAACGAGCCATTTCATCTCTTCGCCTGTTTCCCCCTCTTTAACCTGAGTTTCTCATGACCAACAGATGAGATAAAGCATGGGTGAACACTCTTGTGTGGTAAGTTATTTCACAAAAGCTGAAGGGGGAAAGGGGGGAGGGGTGAAAAGGAGTGTTTGGAATTAGCTCTCCAAATGTCGAGGAATCCGATGGAATGTGAATAGCAGGTCTCTATAAAATTGATCCTTTTTAACTTTTTGCTTTAAAACCCCCACTTTACCTACAAGTCATAAAGAAAAGTCTCCAAAATGGTACTGACTGCCTCGGTCAGAAACTGCCAAGCAATTAGTAATACCAGCTGACTCTTGACAAGATTGAGAGTCTAACCTGGGACTAACCCTGTAATTCAACATCTGTCTATAAGCATGGTTTCTCCTAGAAAAGTATTAAAATATAATTCAACTTTTATTATACCAGTCTCAATATACAGTGTTTGAACCAGAAGCCTAGGTTTTGTGCATCTCCTAGAATGCAAGACTTTGCACATTAACTTAAGCAAATCGGGCTGTGCCTGGCAGAGGTCAGGGCTGCAGGGAGTGAGACTGATGGAGGACTGAAAGCCTTCAGGAGCGTTAGCTGCAGATCTTTTTTTTTTTTTTTTATATTGAAAATGTTTTATGGTTATAAAAGTGTACATAGGGCCAGGGAGATGGCTCAGTAGAATAAGCACTTCCCTGGCCAGCACAAAGGCCTGAGTTCAATCCCCGGTTCTCTTTCTTTTTCTCAGTCCCAGTTACTTTTTTCTTTCTGGATACCTCAGTTTCTTTTCCTTTAACACTATCGGAGATCATGGAGGAAGGGAAATATAACAATTAAATGCATTTCGACTTCAATGAGGTATGCAGCAACAGAGTTATATATAAACATGTATTTCATCTTTTTCCTTTTCAAGAGCCGAGGCGAATCCGGGGCGGGCGCGGGCGCAGGCTAGAGCGCAGCGCCCAGCGGCGGTCCGGGCGGTCCCTGCTGTCCGGGCGGCGGCCGCCGCGGGGCCAGGCCTCCTCCCCGAGCTGCAGATCTTGAGCCAGGAGTCAGCTTCCTGCAGTTGCTTAAGATACAGCTGTGCTTCTGGGCTCTTAACTCCTCTACACTCCAAACTTGTCATAGGCCACCTTTACTGTGTCACCATCTATGTTCACATTATCCTAAACAGCAAAGAATAAATCCTTACCAAAACCAGAAATGAGATGCATGTTGTCTTAAGGGTAGGTCTGAAAGTGCTCGAGGCTTTTAACATATGTTTCAAATAAAATTCTTGTACTGATTCGAATGTGCTCCCAGTGGGCTATGTTATTCCAAATGCCCACATCTTGAAGTTCTTACTCCTGCCTTTACAGGTATACCAACCAAATAAAGCCTAATCATTTGTACAAGATAAAGATGTATTTTGACCTTTCCTCTTGCTCTCAATAAGCTCTGTTTCAGAATTTGAAACATCCCTAAAATAGCTTTCACAACCTGTTTTGAGCATCATAGAAAATGTATGGAGCCAAGTTACACTGAAAGTAAAGATGTTATTTGAAAAGAGAA